ATACTGATTCATGAGAACGTTTATTTTTCGCAAAAACGTCAAAAACCTATTTGGAGATATATTAAACGAAACAGCCCATCGCTGGTTATTTCTACTGAAAACCAAATATGCATAACCCAATCAAAACTAATCCATACTATATCAGAATTGTACAACTACATCGTTCATATTGTGCATTGAATACTAATAGGTTTTAATTCATAAAGAGTTTCAAACTGAGAAAATCACACCATTTTTGCTTACTAGATTAATTTTAATTTTTCGTTTTTCGTTTCTACACTGAATTAGTCATACATACATATGTTTGAGAAAGAAGAGAAGAAAAAAAACAGATAAGAAAGTGCGAAAGAGAAACTCTGAAGTAGATCATATTTTTTTACCCATGTTAGCATTGTTATTTTGAAAAAGCAACTGACCTTCAACGTGTTTTCTGTCTAAATCTTAACACAGTACTGGTATTTTTTATAGTGAAATATATACGAGGAAATAAGTATGCTGAAATTACTAACTATTGTATTCATAGGTCAAGTATTATTTCACACAATCAATTTTTCTGAAGCAGCTGGTAAAGCAACGGAAAAAGATTATGATATATTTTTAAAATCAAACCAGTGAATAGCAACATCAGAAGATGATAAAAAAATACCGAATGATCTAAAAGACGATGTAGAAGACACATCAGGTTTATGACTAAAACTAACGTTCACAAAAAATTAGTTGAGTTGATAGTACGTGATTGAAATCGTTAAGTATCGGTAATTTTTCTGATGTTGCATTATTTTTCTGATATTTGTATTTCATACATAATACTTTGTTGTTTTTATTTTACAGAAATGTCAGTGGAAGATTTATTACAGAAAGACTTGAAAATGGCTGTTGGTTCAAAAATCCGAATTGCAGTATCGAGTTTACCGACAGATATCACCTGTGAAGTATGTAAATTTAATAAATTCAGTTTTCTTTTCCATTATTTTGTACAAATTCTAATATTTCAGGAATTTATTAATAAATTGAAAACAATGAAAGATATTGAAAATTTTTTGCAAAAAAATGACAATGCTGATGCCGTAATTATACTATCGGTAAAAAATGATAACGATGGACCATCAAGACAATTAGGATTATTTGTTCAAAAATTTGAATATATCAATAAGGTAAGCACGTGATTGTTCAGATTTAAGTATAAAAGAAGAATGTTCAATATGTATTTTCTTTTTTCAAGTTAAATAGCTATATTCGACAAGATACACATGGTCTTGACTTACAAGAACGTCCAATACCGATTAATCAAGCACGTTTGAAATTATTCAATCAAAAAAATGTTCAAGCATCAAGTGACGAAATATTATCAATTATGGAACAATATGTGAAAAATTTTGATCAGTGAAGTGAATGAACGGGTGTTAATAGATGACTTTTTTTTAAAATCATATTCGTATTTTGTTCTTTCTATTCTGTAGGACTTCGGTCTTTTACACTTATTTTTATTAGAAAAGTTCAAGGATTGTTAGTAGTTGTAAAAGTGTATTTCTCTGAATGGCTAAATGTGCATATCGTGGCAGATGATCATAATAAGCTTGGCTCTACTGATGTGAGATGAAGAGAGACACCTAATTTAGTCTTCTAATCTATTACTGTCTGTTACTCCATACACTTATTGATAGGAAATTAATCGATAATGGCATTACCTTCGTTGTCTATAAATTATCCGTTTCTAGTGTAACTATCAATAAAATAAAAATACATAAACCCAATGAAATAATGAAAAAAAGCCAAAAATGACAAACACTATTATTCTTGATCTAACGGTAGTGTTATATTTAGTAGTGGATCATTTTCAACAATTAGTTTTGGCTCATTTGATGACTTATCACAAATGCTTTCATTTCGTGAACCATATGTAGTTGCCATGTATGTACAATAACTATCTGACAATTGTATTGGACGTTTAACTTCGTTGCCATCGAATTCTTCGAGAAAAAATAGACGAGCACGTGAAAGATCATTTACTAATTGTTCATCGGTTGATGATGCTATTTTTAGTAAAGGTAGAATGCAGACACTGGGTATAAAGTGTAAAACAGATAATATTTGTTCAGTAATTTGTTCAAAATAACGAGATTTATCGATTGAATACAAAATTTGTAAGCGTTTAAGCCATAGTTTTATTTCTTCGGTAGAAAATTTAATTTTTGAAGAAGTTGAATCAAAATACTTTGGAATTTCAGATTGATCAATTGTTACTAAATATTTTGAACGTGTATTCGACAATGAAGATTGTAGATGTTTAGATGCGGATAATTTTATAGAAGTTGAAGTTGGACGAGAAGATGATATTGGACGAGGACGATCATGATCACGAGAATTATGGTCCGTATTTAATGCCGAATCACTTGCATGGAAATCTTTTGATGTTAATAATCGCTAAAATGAAAATAAATGAAATATATATTTAAACAGTATTAAACATGTAACAGTTTGTACTATACGCAGTCTATTATGATAAAAGTTTCATCAAAACATATATGTAACATACTTGTTGAATTTTTTTTGTTGGTATAATAACGTATTTATAATGTTCTAATTCTTTTTCTAAAAATTCTTTACATGGCTGTTTTAAATGATCGATCATATATTCATCGGCAAGATGTAGAAAATCTTCAATATTTGTAGAATTAACTGAATTATGAAATTGTGGATAAATATAAGTTAGTAGTTCTAAAATACTTTTGGCTGTTTTTTCATTTAATACGATTTCTTGATTACTATGTTCTTTAAAATGACCATCAAACATTCTTGTAAATACGGGAGATATCAATGATAGAAGTAAACGATGACAATGAAATTTAGCATTTTCAACAACAAGTATAATATCAGATGTTGTATTTGTTTTTGTAAAATAATCATAAGGTGAAACAGATTCGTTTGGTACAGAGTAAAGACGACACAATTGTGATGATGATAATGTAGTCATAGTTGATAAAAATATTATTCAACGTTATTGTTGTTATTTGTTTCAAGAATCAATAGACTATTTATCATTATCAATAATAACACACAGAAAATGATGTGCACTATACAACGCTAAAGAAGAAAAAGAATATAAAACTAATGCAACACACATGATGAAGAACAGACTTTTGTTTTACATTTTGTCGTCCATAACTTACATACAACATAAAGAACAAATGTGTAACAAAGTAATGAAGATCTCGTTTATTCGCGCAAACAATTTTAGTTGAAAACTCTCTATTCTTGTGAGAGTGAATTTGTTTCTCATTTTTAGTTCTATACGATTTTATTTCGAAGTGATTTTTACTCTTTAACTATTGTATGTACGCAGATTTTATTTCAATATAGTCGATCAGCATTAATAATAGAGACCTCTTAAATTTATTTATATCAAATTTATTAAGCTTATATTTTTTTCAGATCGACTATAAAACCTCTTAGTTTTAGTTTAGAGCGAACTTAATTTACTATTAATGCAGTGCTGGTAAAGACCTGGTGAAAAAGTGAAAAGGAAGCGAAAGAAACATAATGGCATCATAACAACCAACCATTAAACGATAAGAATAAAAAAATTAAATAAATAAAATAGAATGAAAAAAGACAATAAAAAAAAGTGGAAAATATAAAGAATGAATGAACTATGGTTAACAGTTTTAGAGAGAAAAACAACTTGCTAAACCAGGATATGAAAATTTGACACCATTTATCTGCCGGAAAAATTTATCAGAAATTTGTTCAGAATTGAAAAGAAAATATAATAAAATGGTTAAAAAAAAAGACATAATTATTCATAAAAACAAAAAAAGGAATAAAAACTAAGTTTTTTTTTATACAATTTTTTAGAATCTGACTACTAATGTTAAATTAATTAGCACTTCAAAAACGAATAAATTGAAAACTACGAGAAAAAAAATTACTGCTATTTAAAAAGCGTTTTGGTAATGAGTTAGTTGTAAAATTAGTGTTTTAAATTTCTAATTCGTTGCCCACACTAGAAAACATTAAGTTAAACTTTTAGATACTGATAATAATTTTTTTTCTGGTTTGAATACGATTATTGTAAATATACAAGTCGTATTTACTACTATGAATAGCTTTGTTTTTGAAGGAAGTTCAATCGGTAAACTTGACATTACCTTGCTTGTCTAAATGGAGAATCGAAAGCAAGAGAGAGAGAGAGAGATTAATCATACAGCTGTTAAACTGAAAGTAAAAGTTAAAGTTGAATTTTAGTTTTTATTGCGTGTTAATTAACAATAACAATATATTTATGATATACTTACAATAGATAATACAACAACTATCTACGATGTATATGAATATTTCTAAACAAATTTTTAGAAACGAATGAAAACACTATGCAGAAGACGGTATTGAAATTAACAAAAACAATCTTGCTGTTAATCATCAGAAATGTGACGATACATACAATTCTTGGTAGAGTGTTCCAAAAGATACTACAAGATAAAAAATTTGCAAAACTAATCATTTTTCTCGATCAAACTTCGAAACTTTTCTTGTTTGGTAGAGAAACGGTTTCAAGCTTTATTCGATATATTTGAAAATTTTTGTGTAAAGAAAATCAGCGCAAAAAACTAATAAAATCTGCAGAACATGCTTTTTGTATACGAACTTAAAATAATGAATAAAGACTGTCGAATTTGTTATCATTGAACGCAACCTTTGTCAGACTTGTACTACGTCTCATTTTGTTGAACTCTGATTGCTTTATAATTTTGACTTCTACAATAGTCTGATACAACTCTTCACAGAGTCTCAACCTTATTCCATTTTGTTGGAACCATTTCTACCTTCTTTATATGAAATTTCACTATTCATTTTTCCTCTTATTATTGAACTTTGTCTGAAAAAACCTTTATTAGGTTTTTACACTT